CTTTTGTTCTTCAGTCTAGTTGTGGAGGACGTTGCTTCACTGGCCCAAGTTGGCACCATCATTGCGCTCTTCCCGGGTGAGTCACATCAGTCGCCGGCTTCTGGACGGCCGCTCACTGCGGCTACTGGCCGCTCATGCTGGCTGCTAGCTACATTCGGTAGCCCATGGCAACCCACTGCCACAGGGGCTGCAGCCTATGCCGTCACGGCGACTCACGGCAGCCCAGCTCTAGGTTGAGCTGTTGTACAGCATCTTAGCTGTGGAGGGCAGTGTCACTGGTCCTCATATGTGGGATCCGAACCGGGGCCCTCTGACATCCCAAGCCAGTTCTTAACCATCGCTCCACTCGGCCGACCCTAGCCCTCTTATGTCTTGATTGGAGCATTTAATCCCTTTGCATTGAAAGTAATTGTTGATAGATATGTAGCTATTGCCATTTTATTATTCATAATTGTGTTTTGTTTGTTGTTGGTGGTTTTTTTCCGCCTTAAAAAAGACCCTCTGAGACTCCTTGTAATACTGGATCGGTTGTGATGAACTCCTTTAGTTTTTTCTTTTCTGGGAAGCTCTTTATCTGTCCTTCAATTTTAAATGATACCCTTGCTGGTTGTAGGTCCTTGCTTTTCATCACATTGAATATTTCCAAACAGTCCTTTCTGGCCTGCAAAGTTTCTGTTGAGAAATCAGCTGATGATCTTATGGGAGCTCCCTTGTAAGTTACCAGTAGCCTTTCTTTTGCTGCTTTTAGGATGATTCTCTCTTTGTCTTTAACCTTTGGCATTTTAATTATGATGTGTCTTGGTGCAGGTCTATTTGGGATCATCTTGTTTGGGACTCTCTGCACTTCCTGGGCATGTCTATTTCCTTCACCAGGTTAGGAAAGATTTCAGTCATTATTTTTTCAAATAGGTTCTCAATCCCTTACTTTCTCTCTTCTTCTTCTGGTACCCCTATGATGCTTCATGTTATACTTCATGTTGTCCTAGCGGTCTCTTTAACTATCCACATTTTTTAAAATTCTTGTTTCTTTTTGCTGTTTTCATTGAGTATTTTCTGCTACCTAGTCTTCCTAATCACTGATTTGATCTTCTGCTTCATCTAGTCTGCTGGTGATTTCTTCTAGTGCATTTTTCATTTCAGTCATTATATTCTTCATTTCTGAGTGTTGTGTTTTCTTTATGGTTTCTATGTCTATTTTTATGCTTGCTACCTCTTTGTTGAAGTTCTCACTAAGTTCTTTGAGCATCCTTATAACCATTGTTTTGAACTGTGTTTCTGGTAGGTGGCTTGCCTCCATTTTGTTTAGTTCTTTCATTTGGGACATATTTCGGACATATTTCTTTGTTTCCTCATTTTGGCTGCCTCCCTGTGTTTGTTCTATATATTAGGTAGATCTGCTACACCCTCAGTCTTGGCTGGGGAGCTTTATATAGTAGGTGGCTTATGGGGCCCTGGCACAGTCTCCCTGGTCACCTGCTCTTGGTGCTCCAGGTGTGTCCCTTGTGTGGGTTGTGTGTGCCCTCCTGTTATAGTTGAGTCTTGATTGCTATTGGCACATCAGTGGGTGGCATTGGCCCTCAGGCTGATTGTTGTGGGGTTTGGCCACATCCACAGCTCATGGGATACTGTGCATAAGCTTACCCCACTGAGTGGGATTCACCCCAGCAGGCTCTAGTGCCTGTTGAGACTGCCTTTTGAGTGTGCTGCATGTGGGGCTAATTGGCTGGTGCTCTGTTGTGATCTGAAGCCAAACCCCAAGTATGTTGGTTCTGGGGCCTATTGGAAGGGGCTCCAGTGCAGGGCCAGGTGACCAGCCGGGGACAACCTGGCAGGAGCTACAAAACGATCTGTGATTGTTTGCCACCTGTGATAAGCCTGGAGGCATGTGCGACAGGGAGAGGCTACACTGCAAGCCAAGGACGGCTGCCACCAGTACTGGGCCTGGGGTAACTCTGCAAAATGTTGGACACCCTGAGTCCTGCTGTCACCTGCTGACTCCTTTTAAGGTTCAGCCACTGATAGAGCCTCATACGATATGCACGTTGGGTGAAGCAGGGTCTCAGGGAGTCACTACAGTGGGAAAGTTGTGTTTACAGGTTAATGTAGATTCTGATTTGGTGCCACTGCTGAGCCTGGAGCTACTCAGCAGAAGTCTCAGAGCACACATAGCCCAGTTGCTGCCTGCCTGGTGCCCATGGACTCTGATAGCTTTCAAAGAAAGTGTGTAATATGGATGGAGCTGGCCGCTCACTAAGAAAGTGCCTCAGGCATTGGGGAAATTGGGTAGGGTGGGGTCCCAGGGAGTCAGCAGGGTGGAGCAGCAGAGCTCACCAGACCAATTCAGATTCAGATTTGGTCATGGGTGTGGGAGGAGGGCTCAAAACAGGAAAGATGGGGCCTGCCTGCAGGAGTACAGGAGGAGGACTTCACATAGGGAAAATGGAAACTATCCTCTAACCGTCACCCTAAAGGTATACACCTCAGTCTGCTCTCGGTATGCCTTCAATGCCCCCCGAGTCACCATCCCTCAGTCAGAAACCAAGGTGAGTGCCTGGGAGTGAGTGAGACTGTGTGCAGTCTTTTAAAGAGGACTTCTGAGTTTCCTGCAGCCTCTGTTCCACCCAGATGGTCAGAATCCCCACTGTTTTTCACAGCAGGATGTTACGGGGGCTCATCTTCCTGGCACTAGTACCGGGCTGGGGAGCCTGGTGTGGGGCTGGGGTCCCTTCCTCCAATGGGGGGAACCTCTGTGGCTGATAACCCTCTGATTCTCAATTGCCACACAGATTTTCCCTTTCTTGATAGTCTCTATCCATGTGCAGAAACAATTACTAGAGTATAATTTTTCACGGTGTATATGAAGTTTCATTCATAGGATTATTGTGGATAAATACCTTATATTGCATCTTTGGTGCCTATTGTGCTGAATCTTTTCACAATTATCTCACAGAAATTTATTTTTTTCAGGTATTATTCTCCTGGATATTCAGATATACTTCTGCAGAGACTGGACAGCTACCAAGCAAATATTAATTAAGCAAAGTTATATTTGTATACTCAAATTACTACAGAATACATATGACTAACAGTTATTAAAGATCTTTGTAAATATTTGAACTAATTACATTCTAGATTTATTCAGTGTGAAATATCTTTGAATAATATTTTCTAAATTTATGTAATACTTTAAAAATTAGTGGCTTGCGGGCTGGCCAAGTGGCTCAGTTGGTTAAGAGCTCACACAAGAGTGCAAGCTCTGAGCAACAGGGTCGCCAGTTTGATTCTCGGCCTGAGCTGAGCTGTCACTGAGCTGCCAACAGGTGGGAGGATGGCTCAGCTAAAAAAAGAAAAACTCAAAAAAATTAGTGGCTTGAATATATGAGAAACTATTCATGGTCATTTATACAAGATTTTCTTTAAACATAGAATTTTTAAAAATCCATTAAACGGTTTTAAGGCATTTGTTATCATTCTGTTAAAAACCATATGTACACACATGCACACACCCCAACTAGATATAGATGAGAGATGGTATTCAAAAACTCATAATATTTTGACCACTTCCTCATAGGCATAGGCAAGGAAAGCTAGCCTTGCAAATTCCACGGTAGGATACAGAAGGGAAATACGTAAAACCTTGGATTGCGAGTAATTTGTTTTGCGAGTGTTCTGCAAGACGCGCAAACATTCCTAATACATTTTAACGTAGTAAATGAGCTATGTCTTGCAATACAAGTAGTTTGTTTCCAGAACGAATTATGCTTGCAAACCAAGGTATTACTGTAGTTAAAAGAGGAAACTGATAACAGAAGTACAGGGTACTTGAAAGAGACCCTAATGCTGGTTACATAAATTCATTAATTGAACACACAGAATCTATGAATAACCTGTCAGGTTTTCTTAAGAACTTAGGAAACTCTCCTCTTCATCCCTAGATTTCTATGCTCTTTTCTTACCCCACCTAAACTGTCCCTTACCTTTCAAGGGGTTGGGGAGGATAGAAGTCAACATTAAACATTATTTTACTGCAGACATGCTTTCCATTTTCACTGAAATGTTTTTTTTGTGTTTTTTTTTTAAGATTTTTAATTGGGGAATTGGGGGATGGGAACAACGCTAGGGAATTGGGGGAAGGGAAACAGACAAGTTGCTGTCCTTTTGTTCTTCCTTCTAGTTGTGGAGGACGTTGCTTCACTGGCCCAAGTTGGCACCATCATTGCACTCTTCCCGGGTGAGACAGATCAATCACTGGCTTCTGGACCACCGATCACGGCGGCTGCTGGCCGCACACGCTGGCTGCTGGCTACACAAGGTAGCCCATGGCAACCCACTGCAGCAGGGGCTGCAGCCTACGCCATTGCCGGCAACTCATGGCAGCCCAGCTCCAGATTGAGCTGTTGTTCAGCATCTTAGCTATAGAGGGCAGTATCACTGGCCCTCATATGTGGGATCTGAACTGGGGCCCTCTGGCATCCCAAGCCAGCTCTTAACCAATGCACCACTCGGCGGGCCCTGAAAGGTTTTTTATTGGAGCTCTGCTCATGAATAAACAAGGAAGCAGCCATGTAAAATGGATCATCAGTATTCCCTTGTCTTAGCTTCACTTTTCCAAGTTTCAAAAGTCACATTTCCAGAGATTTAAGATATAATTTGAAAAGAATACCATCAGACTTTATATGCATCTTTACTTAAGGAGTTAAAAGGGGGAAAGAGGGAGTCCAAATAAAATTTTAGATAAAAACAGCATTAGACTTGTCCTTTTCATTTTTCCTATCTAGCATGTTTCTCACCCTGGGGAATATGTCATTAGATTTAGGAATCTTGGATAGTTGGCATGAGTGTGTCTTTAACCTAAAGGGAGATCCTTACAGTGATCTCCCCTGGAAGGTGAATGATAGCAGAGGAGGTGAATGATAACCAGGGAGCCCCTATGCCACAGTGTTTCCAATCTGGCCGAATTTCAGGTTTCCTTCTCAAAGGGATCCTACCCATTTATTTTTGGTATTTTCTGGATTCATCTCTGTCATCATTTCCTAACTGTGCATAACTTTGTTACATCTTTTTAAATGTTATTATACCCAAGATCGTCCCTTTTTTTTTTTTTTGCCTGGAATTGCTTGCGGTTTCACTTTTTAATGCTTCCTTGTGCCTATTTTGTTTCCTTGCAGTAATTTCTTTGACTCACTGCATAAGAAAATATAATTTTTATTCTCAGTGTTGTAGCTTGCCTTCCTCTCCTTCCTACCTGCCCTCTTGTCTTATGAAGCTTTTAACAATCTAAAAAAATAAAAGTAGTTTTCATCTTTATTAAAACTTTTTTCTTAGATGACCATGTTGGTAATGAAGAAACTGGTTTATCTAGGATAAAACCTCCTTGGATCTTACAGGAATAGTGAATTTCCTATTATGTATTTCTTGCCATTCTATGTTGAACTTGAAGGTTTTCACTTCATACATCATTTCGTACTTATCAAATAGTATTAAACTAAGAAAGTAATAAAACATTTAATGGTATTTGAATGGGTGCTATACTTTGATCATATGCAATTTGGAAAATTTAGGCTATGAAGTGTTTCTTGACATAAAATACTTAAAGCAAAATGAAGCTTTATTTTTTGAAGTCTATTATGAGACTTTTTATAATATAATAATTATTTTGTGTTAGAGCAAAAATAGTGTCTCTCATTGATGGCATTCTGTGGTATTTTCACCCCTGGTTTGAATTTTGTCAATTCCAGTTCTCTAGACAGAGCAACCCTTGTCCCACTGTTCACCCAACCCCCTGCAGTTTATTTAAAATTCAATTATCATTAGGGTATCTCATTTAGCTGAAAAATTTACGAGGTGTGATAAAAAACTATGGTGAATGCTGCTGCCGAGTGCCATCCAACGGGAAAGGCAAGAATCTTCAATATGGGAAGCAGCATGTCGAACAATGTGTGACAAGTTTCAGCTTGTTTGGTGCAGTCAGTCAGGTGTGTTTTAAAGTGTGCTGTAAATCATACTCCATCCTGACAACTCTCTGTGTCACACATCGCTTCTGTTATACGGCAATTCCTGTCAAACAAAAACATTACCATGTGTCCTCATCCACCTTATTCACTAGATCTGGCACCGTGCGACTTCTGCTCTTCCTCAAAAGTCAAAATGACAATGAAAGGTAAACGTTTTGAATTGATTCAGGACATTGAGGCAGCCACGACAGCGCAACTAAAGACAATCACAAAAGAGGACTTCCAGAACTCCTTCAGAAAGTGCCAAAAACAATGGGATAAATGTGTTCGAAGTGAAGGGAGATTATTTTGAGGGGAATTAATGGCAATGTGTCTTTTACTGTAATATTTTTTTTAATTTAAATATTCACCATATTTTTTTTATCACACTTCATATTTCTAGAACTTCAGTTCAGGAATAGAATTTGTTGAATCTGATTATTGTTTGACCCTCATTATTATTCATTCACTTCACCTGTTATGGAAATAGATGCATACCAGTGGTGCTTGAAAAAGATGTTGAAAATCTGGGTTCTAGTCATATCTGTTAAGTAGTAAGGGTGATAATACTTGTTCAGCTTACTAATAATATGCTTATTAAAATAACCTGCAATGATAGTTGTAAACTGTCCATTCTATGCAAACTGGCATGTGATTTATGGGCAATGACCGTCAAAGACAGATTATATGTTTGGGCCAAAAATCAAGGATTGGGAAACCAGGCCCTGTACTCTTAGATAAGTGGATTTATACCAAATGATTTATGATCAAGAAAACCTGTATTTCCTGCCCTCATGGAGTTTTCTAATATAAACCCATTCACCCAGACACAGGGAGTAAAATAGGCACAAGACAGTGAACACAAAACAGCCATACTTCATTTAGTATATAAAACAAATAACTTCATATTTATAGGAAGTTTACCTGTTTTTCTAACCTTTTCCTCTCAAAGTATCCCTTTAAAGAAAGTATGAAAGATTTGCTTGTTTCTAAACTTTATTTGAGGTCTTGTTAACATAAACCGTGACTTGAAATTTCTGGGTGAGGCCCTCTCCAGTCTAAGATGTCAAGTTTAAAAACTAACCTTGAAAGAATGAAGGATTTGTCTGTTGTGTTTTCAAATCATCAACCCTTTAAGTTAGGTGCTAGCAAATGTTGGAGGCTTGTGTATACTCTGGCTTATTTTGCCACAAAATTCACTGTCTAGAAAATATTTATTTGTAGCTATTCTGTTTCAGAGATTAAAAAGATCAAATGTCAGTCTTAACTATAAATATTCCACTTACCATTTCACTATTTTTTCTAGAAGCCATACAATTAGACACATATTCAGTGATAATTGCTTTAACGTATGGTGAGTTTTATTGTGTTTGCAAAAATCAGTTTTTTAGAAACTTAGGCAGTACATGAAAGGATAAAGAAAAAAGCAAAACATCACTCCAAATCTCACAACCCAGGAAACAATTGTCATCGAGTTAACATAATTCCATGTTTCTCTCTGAGCCTTTGTACAGACAGAAAAAAATTTAGAAAGTGTATTCATGCTATACATGCTATTTAAAAATAAAAAGTAAAAATTAATAGCAGTGTGCTTGATTCATGGAAGATGGAGTTTTCACTTTTCTGTTTTTTTAGTGTGTTTAGGTTAAAAGCTCTCTTTAGTGATAAATTAGGGATCAATATAAAGTATTTATAAATGGCCCCCTTTTATTAATGATTGACTAGTATTTGTTATAGAGATTTTAAATTGAGTTCTACTTATGGCTTATCAGTTTTACAGCATTGGATGAATACTATGCTAATATATTATTTTGCAAAATTGTTTGATATAGATATTTATGCATTCAAGAAAACCTTTCTCATGTAGAAGGTAGGACAATTAAGTTTGTGAACTTATTGCAATGATGTTGAGAACATTTTTTGGTATGAGAGGGATTATTCATTATGAATTTGTATCAACTGGAGAAACAGTTAACCAGGTTTACTATTTGGAAGTGCTGAAAAGGCTGCGTGAAAAATTTAGACAACCTGAACTTTTCGCCAACAATTCATGGTTCTTGCATCACAACAGTCAGTGCACCAGCTCACACGGCACTGTCTGTGAGGGAGTTTTCAGCCAGTAAACAAATAACTGCATTGGAACACCCTCCCTACTCACCTGATCTGGCCCCCAATGACTTCTTTCTTTACCTGAAGATAA